TGGCCAGCTCAGCCCACCAGGGGGCGGGGCTGGCTGGCATGTGGTGCTGGGGGATTGAACCGCGGTCCCTGTGCTTTGCTAAGCTTATTCTAAGTAGGTGCTTTAGACCACTGAGCCATCTCACCAGCCCTTGATAAATATTTAGCACATCAATTTATTTCAAACAAAACCCACTTTGGCATATCAAAGAATCCATTTTAAGTTAGCATGTGCTAACATTTTAAGCCCATGAGACTGGTCTGGCTGGGCATGGTGGCAGATACCTGTAATCCAAGCTCCCTGGGAGGCTGAGGCGGGAGGATTGCAAGTTCATGTCCAGCTTGGTCAGCTTAGTGACTTAAGCCAGGGTACACTCAAAGAAGGACCTGAGAACACCAGGAGGTCCTCAGGTGGGAGCGCGGAAGCAACCTAACAGTGGCTGACGCAGAGCATGGTGTGTGAGCTAAGTGTTCAAAATAAAAAATAACAAGAACAGCAATAAAGGGTGGGGATATAGCTCAGTGGCATAAGTGCCTGCCTGGGGGGCTGGGGAGATGGCTCAGTAGGATAAGCACTTGACTGGCAAACGCAAGGATCTGAGTTCAATCATTTCCAGTACCAAAAAATAAATAAAATTTAAAAAAAAAGAATAACAATAAAATATGACTGGGAATGTAGCTCAATGTGAAGGCCTTGAGTGCAGTCCTCGGTAAGGGGGGCTTAGTGTGATTCTGCTGTTAAGGCCTGAGATGTGGGCCCGGAGAGATGGCTCAGTAGAATAAGTGCTGCCCTGGCGAGCACAGGGCCTGAGTTCAATCCCCATCTGCGCTGTGAGCCTCGGAGCAAGCTTCTTGGATGGGTCCCGTTAGGCTTTGGGAAGCGGGCAGGCCGGAGGAGAGCACGGCTCGTGTGCCTGCAGTGCGCTTTGGCCCGCCCGCCCGGCAGCCAGCGGGGGCGCCTCGGGCTCTCTCTGGGGGGCGCAGAGGGCGCACACACTGATCTGCTTGGCGCGTGAGGGAACAAGACTGCAGATTTGTTTAAAGTGCTGATGCGTCGATCTTCACGGAAGCAAGAATATGAGTTAATAATCAAGAAGGCCTGAGGACACCGAGGCCGCCCCACCGCTGCTGAGTAAGCGCCCCTCCCGACCTGTGGGGTCTGCGGCCGCGAGGGCCAACGGAGACAGGGACTCTGTTTTGCAATCAAGAAATGATTGCAGAACCCAGGCGGGGCCCAAAGCTTCTGGATTCCTCAGTAACCTCCAGATTCAGTCTCCGGGCCAGCCAGGAGGTGGAGAGTGGGGCAGGTGCGTGGCCGCGGACTTTGCCTCCGAACCTAACGCCCCGCCTCGCAACGAGGGGAAGTTGATCTCTGCAGGTCAAGAGTTCGGATAACAGTGATTAATAGGAGCAGCAGGCGGCATCACATACGTGTGCGTGCGTGTTCGCCGACCTGCTGGCTGAGGCGTGCGCTCCTGAGGGATTAGTGTGGGATTCTGGTTGGCCGAAATTTACCTTTCCGCCCTGCCGGGCGTCTCCAAGGCCACCTCTAGGTTCAGTGCTCTGCTCCCGGGACTCACAGAACTCAGCAGATGATCCTTCTGATATGACTTGTGACAGCAAAAGGCTACAAAGTCAGCAAAAGCGAAAGGCGTGTGGGACAAAGTCCAGAGGAGCCAGACTCCAGCTTCCCAGAGTCCCCTCCGGGCGTGGTCACAGGGAGCTAGCCGTAGCTTAATTCCTCTAGCGTAGGAAGCGCTGTCTCTCGGGGTGCGCACTGCAGGTCCAGGCTCCTTCCTTCCTTCCTTCCTTCTTCTCCTACTCCTCCTTCTCCTCCTTCTTTTCTTCCTCCTCCTCCTCTTCTTCTTCCTTCTCTCTCTCTCTGTCCCTTCCCCCTCTCTCCCTCTCTCCCTCTCTCCCTGTCTCTCTCCCCTTCCCCCTCTCTCCCTGTCTCCCTCTCTCTCTGCCTGTCAGGCT